TTTTTTTTTTTTTTTTTTTTTTTTTTTTTTTTTTTTGAAGAGTCTTTATTTTTATACATAATAATAATAATTGAACTCAGTATCTCAATATTATTTTAATGTTTTAAAATTTATCATTTTTATTTTTTTTCTTATTTTATTTTTTAATAATTTACGATAAAATATAATATTTAATCAAAATTTATGTAAATTTTTTAATAAATAGCAAAAAAAAAATTAGTTTAAAAAAATAATCCTGAGGATATAATATAATATTTATATAAATAAATATGTTACTTTAAATGAATAAAATAAAATAAGAAAAAGAATTAATATTTTGAAGAAGGAAATAATATTAGACTCATTTTTTAAAAGAAAAAAAAAAAAAAGATAAAATTTCTCAAATATAGATACATATGGTATAATTTTTTCTTTGTGATTACTAATAAAATGGATTAAAGTATATTCATAATAAAAACAATAAAAGGAAAAACAAAAAAAAAAAAAAAAAAAAAAAANTTTTTTTTTTTTTTTTTTTTTTTTTTAAGATAACAACATACGCTTTTATTATAAAATAATATTTAAATTTTATTCTACATAAATATTATAATTTTTTTTTTTTTTTAATTTTAAATAATTATTAAAAAGATAAAAGAAATATAACATATAAAAAAGTAAAATTTTAAAAGTGTCTAAGTGAATAAAACATATAAAGTAATTTAATTCTTTTCCTTTTTTTTTTTTTTTTAAAAAATAGTAAATTAATATGCATATATAAAAAATATTAATTTATATATATATATATAAGTTCATTATTAATAATACTTATTAAGAGTTTAACTAAGATACCATCATGATACAACAAAAAATACATAAAAGATACAAAATATTGAAAAATGAAGATTTAAATCATCGATATACAATTAATGACATAGAAGTATATTTTCCTTATGAATTGTATGATTGTCAATATAATTATATGTTAAGTGTTCTAAATGCTTTAAAAAAAAAAGAAAATGCAATTTTAGAATCACCAACAGGAACTGGAAAAACATTATGTTTATTATGCGCAAGTATAAGTTACCTTGTTGATATTATGGAAAAAAAAGGAAGTTTTTCTGAAAATATAAATATTACTGAAACGAATAAAAATACTTCTTTTGATTTTAAAGGAAATGAAGGTTCTCCAAAAAAAGTGGTTAGTGATTTCCCTAAAATAATATATGCTTCAAGAACTCATAGTCAGTTAAAACAAGTAATAAAAGAATTAAAAAATGTTTACTTTATAAAAAACAATGAAAAATATAAATTACTAACCACTATATTAGGTTCAAGAGATCAACTGTGTGTTCATAATATTAATTATAATTATAAAGGTACTTTATTAAATAATATGTGCAAAAGGACAAGAAGAAGTGGAGAGTGTATGTATCATAACGGATTAAAATACTTAGATAAATTAAAACATTTATTTACGACACCAATGGATATAGATACATTAAATGAAATAGGTAAAGGAAATTCTGTAGGCCAAAATATCCATTTTTGCCCATTTTATGCCACTAGAGAAATTCAAAATGAATGTCATGTTATTTTATTACCATATAATTATTTGTTTGAAGAATCTACTAGGAAAATATTAAAATTAAACTTAGAAAATAGTATAATAATAATTGATGAAGGACACAATATTGAAAATGTAGCAGAAGATGCTGTTTCTTTCAAAATAAGAAATTCCGATTTAACTTTTTTCCTAGATGCTATTAAAGCTACTTTAACAATTCTAGATAAAGTGAATGATATAGATAAAGAAGCAAAAGATAAAATAAATGTAGATGAATTATTTATATTAAATAGAAGTATAAATGCATTAATAACATGGTTAAATAATGAACGATTAGAAAAAGATGAGAAGAAAAAAATTAAAGAAAAACATAAAACATATGAAGGGAAGCAAATATTTGAAGTATTTAAAAATAATAGCATAAATATTACTAAAGAAAATTTTGAGAATTTCAATACATTGCTATCATCTATGATAGAATTATTAAATAAATATATTAATGATTTTAAACTTTCTCAAATGGATATAAATAATGTGAATAGGTATATCTCTACTATAGATAACATTCGAAAATCTTTTGGTATATTATTTAGTGACATTGTTAATAATTGTATAGAGTATTTTCAATTATATATTAATGAAGAAAAGATACCTTATTCAGATTGTTCAGATGTTAATAAAGTTTATGATAAAATGAAAAAATTCACAAAAAATAAAACGAAAATATTTTATGACAAACAGAATTATACAATGTGTAAGAATATTTCATTGTTATGTTTTTCAGCCACTGCAAGTTTATGTGGTATTTTGAAAGAAAAAGTAAATTCTATTATTGTAACTTCAGGTACATTATCACCAATTGAACCATTTTCAAGGCAATTAAGTGGAAAATATTTCTCTTTTAAACATATTTTAGAAAATGATCATGTTATTAAGTCTCATCAATTATTTGTTGGATGTATGACACATTATAATAGTCAAATTTTATTATCAACATACGAAAATAGAACTAATGAGAATTATTTAAAAGCATTGGGAAATTGTATATTTGATATAATTGTGTGTATTCCATTTGGTGTATTAATATTTTTTTCTTCTTACATTTCAATGACTGAAACAGTTAGTGCATGGAAGAAGTTCAAAATATTTGATAAAATAAATACATATAAAACTATATTTATTGAACCAAATAAAGCTTCTGATTTAAAAGAAATTTTAAGTGATTATGAACAGGTAATAAAAAAAAAAAAAAAAGGTGCAATTCTTATGGGTGTGTGTAGGGGTAAAATATCTGAAGGAATAGATTTTAAAGATGACTGTTGTAGAGGAGTTATAATTTGTGGTTTACCATATGGAAATGTATATGATAGTAAAATAATTTTCAAAAAAGAATTTTTAGATAATTTTAATTATGAAATAAATGACGATAACACTTCTACATTAAGTATTACCCCTTCTAAGGGAAATAAATGGTATAATGAAGAAGCTATGAGATCAATAAATCAATCAATAGGAAGAGTTATTAGGCATAAAAATGATTATGGTGCAATTTTCTTCTTGGATTCAAGATTTTCTAATAATCAAAGAATAAAAGAAATATCCAAATGGGTTAGAACACATTTTCGTATATATAGAGATGTAGAACAAATACAGAGTGATATAGATAAATTTTTTGAGCTATTTAAAGGATTAAATGAACAAAATATAGGAGAAGATAAAAGAAAACCCATGAATAATGAGAAGGAAGGGGAAGAAAAAAGCACCACTAACGAAGTAGGAAAAAATTTTCAAGATTGTTATGTAAAAAATGAGAAAACCAATAAAAATAAACATGAAATACCACAAAATAAATTTATATATAATCCAACTAAAAAAATGAAAAACCAACCAAAAATTCTAAGTATGATACAAAATATAACAAAAGGGAAGAATCAAGAAAAAAATATTTATATAGATAATAAAGAACAAAATATTTTTGAAACAAAAGAGGATAAAATTAATATAAAATTAGATAATGCAAAATCTTTGATAGCTTCTTTTCGTGAAATTTTATCAAAAGATATATATGATAAATTTTTTGAGCTAATTAAGGAAACTAAAAAAAAAAGTAATGAAAATAAATATGAAATATTAATAAATAACATTTTAGAATTAATAACACAAAATTTTTCAAAACTCAATAAAGAACAACATGAAGAAGAAAATGAAAATTATTCAAATGTGATTTTAAATGATATAATGAATGAAAAACAACTAACAGATGTATGGAGGATGTTGATTAAATTAATTAACAACTTTTTTCCTATACAAGAAAAGGAAAAATGTTTTTTTATTCTTCAAAAAAAATTTAAGGAAAAAACAAACAATTTTGATGAATTAGAAAAATATTTATACAATTATAGATTAGAAAAGATAGAGATCATTTAGAAAATAAATCATTTAATAATTAAATAATGAAGAACATAAATAAATAAACCATTTTTTATACATTATTTTTAATTAGCAAATATTAATAAATACTTTATATATATATATATATATATATATATATATANATATATATATTATATATATATATATATATATATTAATATATATATATATATATATATATATATATATATATATATATATATATATATATATATAATATAAATTATTAAAATAAATACTTAAATATTCTAATTTAAAAAATTTTTAAAGATAAATTAACATATATATTAGCAATTAAAATATTACATTTATATATGATGACACATTTAATAATAAAAATTATTCTTATATATGGTTTAATTCTATACAGCAAAGTAACTTTTTATTATAAAATTTTTGAATACTTATGTATTTATTAAATATTTATTTTATAAATAAAACCAAAATGTAACTGCTCTAAGGTTTAAAAATTTTTAACAATATTAATATATACTTTCTATATACTTTTATTTTTAAGATTTTTAAATATATTTCTTTTTTTTTTTTAAGTGACAAAATTTTAACTTTAATTTTTTTTCTTTTAAAATTTAAGAAAAAACTTTATGAAAGAATAATTTTAAAAGTTTGACCATATTTTTTTCTGAGTACTCTACCTAAAAACATGTAGTTAATAAATAAAATAAAATAAAATAAAAAAAAAAAAAATTTAATATTGTATTTTTACTAGTACTTTTAATTAATTTTTTTTTTTTTTTTTTTTAAAATTATATTAATTTCTATCTATTATCTTTTAAAGAAATATTATATACTTTTTTTAATAATAAAAAATAAATTAAATTCTACAATATATATTTTGAAATATATATTTTAAAATCTGTAAACATAATTAAATTGCTTTTATTTAACTTTAATATTATTTAAAAAAAAAAAAAAATTATATCTATAAATATGTCATTTTATAATAAAAAGATAGTTACAACACATCGTCTAATGTATGTTTTACAATGTGACTTTTCAACTATTAGAAAAAAAAAAAAAAAAAAAGTAAAAATTTGTAATTTTTTTATAGAAATTTATTTTATAAATATATCAAATAGTTATTTTCTTTTATATTTATTAATATTTACCTTTTTTTTTTTTTTTTTTTTTTTTTT